ATAAAATTTGATAGAAAAAACCCAAGGATGATGTAATTTGATGAAAAAATAAAACAAATATCAATTAAAAGAATAAAGACCTAATTTTAAAGATTAAAATAATTATAGAAGTGAAATTGAAAACATTTATAAAAAAACAAGCAAACCCGGAAAAATATCCTAAACATAGTAAAATCTCAAATAGCTCGCAACCTATGAAACTCTGGATCCGGATCCTATAATTTTATTATAAGTTAATTTAAAAATATAAATTTTTAAAATTTGTCAAAGCAAAATAAAATATAGTAAAAAAAGCCTCAGGCGAACCTGGTAGCGAACCCGGCAACCACCCCGGGTAAACAAACGCATAACCTAAGACATGAAATTAAGATGACCTTATAAATAGGAAAATGAAAAAATATAGGCAAATTTTTAAAAAAAAAAGCTTAAAAAAATAAAAATCAACTCAAGTTAATTGACACGATCAAAGAGTTGATGTCTTATCCCAAGAGCAGGAGTGTCAAAGTAAAATAACCCGGCAAGACCGGGATCGAACCACAGGGAGGTGAATTATATAAATTACAAATAAAAAAAAGGATTTTCTAATTCTAAGCCATGAAAAGTGGGTAAAAGTTGAATAATACCTGGCTTAAAATTAAAATGAGATGCATCAGGAGGAAAAACAATACATGATGGTGCACTTGTTCTTGTTGGATTCATATGATCTCTAAGTGTTCTAACACGATTATTCTCATTATTCTCATTATGAATTGATTGGTTATCTTCTTCGGCCATGTTTTCTAAAGAAAATGATGATTTTCTAGAAAGTCTACCACTTAATGTACGTGTCCAAACTCTCATGCAAATACAAAAGAAAAGAAAAGAAAAAAGAAAAAGAAAAAGAAAAAGAAACAACAATTAGAAAAACAAATAAAAGTGAAAATAAAATAAAATAAAATATTTAATTTATACAATAACTTACCTCCCCGGCAACGGCGCCAAAAACTTGACACGATCAAAGAGTTGATGTCTTATCCCAAGTGCAGGAGTGTCAAAGTAAAATAACCCGGCAAGACCGGGGTCGAACCACAGGGAGGTGAATTATATAAATTACAAATAAAGAAAAAGATTTAAAGAGAATAATAACAGAAAAGGAGTTGAAGAAAGTTTTGGGATGTGATATTGATGTAAGGATTAAACAATAACAAAACATATGTCAAGGTTATAGGATTCACTAATGGTATTTCAAATAAATATAATATAAACTCTTTTTATTACTCAACTAGAAACCACACACAAAGGAGGTTCTAATCGGATGATTTCTCGTTATTAGCTCATTATAAATTACTAACATGATCATATTAATTATCTTATATAAGTAATACCATACTTATAAATATCATCAAGCATTCATGTTGCTAGTTTATGTTAACAACAAATCAAGTTTCTATCATAATAACGATTTCGGCCGAAAACTATGAAAGATCAAGCATTTGATGTACCAAATATTATACAACACAAATCTAAATTAAACATTTAATAAGCAAGGTATTAAGAATTAGTAAGATAAAAAGATAAAACATGTTAATAACAATCTTTCTTGGATATAAACATTTAAAGCTCATGTTGAGTTTATATTATACCTATTCTAACACCATTAGAGAAACCTTTTCACCTTGACATAATTAACTTAGCTAAACATTAAGAAGGAGAAAAACACAAATAAACAATATAAGAACATAAACATAATATAAGCTAACTAAGTATAGGAAAGGAAATGAAAGAGCATAAACAAGAGATTACTATAGCATAAAAGAAAACTTGAACATTACAAAGATGTAGAGAGAAAGCAAGAAGATAACTTTGATCTGAAAATTAATATGACTAAATACATGGACAATGCCTCCTTTTATAGGCTAAGTTTCAGAACTATTGATTGATTGAAGAATTGGTGGGCATCCATTGATTTGGTGGCTGGTTTTTGACATTAATGGCTGCTGGTTTTTTGTTATTGTGGGCTGATTTTTGATATTGTTGGCTGGCCAAAACGTCATTGCTCACATCAGAATTATAGCCAACTGAATTGTGGAATCTGTGGGCAATTGTCTCAGCTTTCCATAAAAAAAAACCAGAGCTCATTTGGACTTCTAGAACTCAAGATATGAGCCAAAAACCGAATAGTGTTTTAGCTGCAGGATAACTTCTGACATCTTTGTTGTTGCTGAGATTTGAACTTGAAAATGGCAGAACTGAGTCTTTGAGTCCATATAAAAGTTGTAGGTCTATGTCTTACATTTTCATCCATATAAAATGGACCTAAATCTAATAGCTACAGCTCTAGATATAATCCAATTGTCGAACGGTGTTCGAGTTTGGAATGCATCAGCAACACTTTGCTAAGTTTGGCCTTCTTTTTATCCTTTCAATTTCAATCCTTAAACTCATCAATCAATCCTTTTATTTATGTGATAGACCTGCATTTAGGATGAATATTTACCATGAATTAAAGGTATATTATATTTTTAGACTTGCTAATATAAAACATGCTTTTGTTAGGGAATTTAATGATACTTTAGGTGCAATATGATGACATAAATCCTTAATGAGAATGCACTTTTAAGTACTAATTATTAATCCTTCAAATCTATTACCCGGATTATGAAACCGAGCAAATCTAAAAAATACAAAGAAATAAGATTCTTAATCAAATAAATATTGAGGGATGAAATTCAAAATAAAAAAATGCAAAACAAAAACAAATTGCAGTTAAAAGTCTTAGGACTAAATTTGACATAACAATTAAATGAAATTAAATGTTTAGGGAAAAATCAAATGAAATTAAATATTTAGGGATGGAATTGTAAAAAACCAATCCATTATGAAAATGATTTAAAAATAACAATTAAAAGAATTAGAATCAAATTTGGTATAAAAATTAAATAAAAATAAATGTCTTGGGATGGAATTAGAAAAAAAGACAAATCAATCAAGAAAATGATTTAAAAAAATAAATATAAATTAAAAGAATGGTAACCAAATTAAAAAAAAAATTAAAAAATCAAATGACTAGGAAAGAAATCAAAAATAAAATTCAATTAGAAATAATTAATATAAATAAAACAATTACAAATAAACGAAGAAAGACTGAATTAAAAGAAGAAAAATAAATTGAAGGACTAGTATTATTTTTTGTATGGCCAACTCGTAATCCGAGGAAGAAAGACAAGGAAAAGAAAAGAAAAATAATTTTAAGTCAAATTACATTGAGCCACCACACACGCCATCCAAAACAGAAAAAGACATCGGGATAAATAAAATAATGCAACAAAATTAAAGTTAAAAGCATAAGAGTCAGCCGCACTCACCGTCAAAAGATAGCAAACTACCAGCCATGCAAGGCATGCATTAGCTATTTTTTATTTTTTTTCTTGTTATTTATACAAAACCAAAAATACCCTTAGAACTATACAATAATAACAAATAAACCATGATGAAATTAAAATCAAATCCCTAAAGCCAATGCGAGAAAATTTGAATGACAAAGATAATGTAGTATTTTTATTATTCTATTAAATATGAAAATACAAAAACATCCTTATGCAAAAGACATTTAATTATTTTATTTAAGGGTTATAGTAGTAATTCTACTATGCATTTAAAGATATGATTACAAAAATAAATTGTTACAATTCTTAAAAGATATTTATATCTTGGTTAAAATATCTTTTTACCCTATAACAAAGATAAAAGATAAAATAATCAAGATGCAATATAGTAATTACAATATTACATGAATAATAATTTATGTTTTCAGGCACAGTAACATCGCTCGAGAGATTAATTTTTTTGGATAACTAGTTTAATAATCTCGCTATGTTATGAGTAAAATTTTAATTTAATTTCTTGAAAAAAAAAAAAGATAAGAAAGAGTTGATATTATTGATGTGTTTTCAAGTATCATGATTTTTTTTTAATTAGTGTTAACAAATTGTTTTTATTTATCAATTTATATTTTTTTAATTTATTTTATTATGCATAAACATCATCTTTTTATTTTTTTAATTAAAAAAATTATTGCACATAATAAAATAAATTATATATATATATATATACTGCATACAAAAATAGGAAAATAGTCTTTCTAATAAAAGCAAAAGATAAATGTGTATATAAATATTTTATCCAGACTATTTGTTTTATTTCTTTTGTTTTTATTTATTTTATCTTATAAGTTAATTTTAGTCACTAATGATACATGCTTTTATAAATGTATCATGTAAATACAACTTATATAAATTACTAGAAAAAAATTACAATAATTTCTTTAAAGTATTATGAAATTATAAAAAAAAATAAGAATATTAATTATTACTTAAAAATAAAATTATATAATTTAAAAATAAAATAAAAAAGAGAGTATCAATTAAGATTTAAATAGAAATTAATGAAAATAAAAAAAATAGAAAATGACCAGGTGAGGTCCGAGTTTTTAGATTATAAAAACTTATTTCTCAACTTATTTTCATATATTAAAAACTTAAAAATATTTTAAAAATCTCAATATATTTATTTTCAACTCCAAAACATTTTTTAATCATTGATAAAAAATTATAGATTTTTATTTATCTTTTTCTAACATGATTAAATGAAATCTCCACCTCTATTGAACTTTTCTAGCAAGGATAAACTCATTTACATCAAGTATAGTATTTTTAATTACTAGAATATGATAATTCGAGTACTTTTTCTCTCCTTATAATTGGAGTGATTTTCTCTTTTCTTTCTCAACTTCTACAAACTAAACGTAGAAAAATAAAATTCAACTTAAAGGATTATCTTGTAAAATCAGAGCATGCAAATTGAAAAAAGTAGGGCAGCCAAATATATATAATGTAGGCTCAAACGACCTTTAATCAAAGCAAAATCAACGGAGCAGAGAACCTCATGATTCTGTAAACCAAAGTAAACCAGGCAAAGTATCAGGTAAATTGCAAACCCTACCCAAACCTGTGCAAAAGCAATTGTACCCAATATAGCTTTTCTCATCATTTAAACAGAGCAGGAAGCAAACATGGATTTCACTGAAATGATTTCACAAGAAAGCATTTCCTATGAATAACATTACAGACAGTGCATACATATCGACCCAAACGATCCTTCACAAAATTAGATTCCAAATAGTGTATCATCTAAATGGGTCAGAAATGAATACAAATTTCCTGATTTCTGATACTTGAACTTACAGGAGAGGCCAAAATAGGAACCTCTCTCTCAGTTATCACCTCCGGTGAGTCATCTGCCTGATCAATGACCACCAGGTGCACATGAGGATATTAATCAGAATAAAAAAGGACAAGAAAGAAGAGAAACAAAATGTGAGAATCAGGTGGAGAATAGGATGAAAGCTGGCCTTTATCCCACTCAATGGTAACAGCAATTATGGTCATATGGTAACAGCTAGACTCTGCAAGCCAGAGGCAGGAAAAGTAGTGGCACATCAAATCTCATGACTAAAACATGTCTAAATGCGGAGTGAACCAGTCACAGGGTCTCGGCTAGAATTGGCATTCATAGAGAGGTTTGCAAATTGGGAGTCCAGGTCCCTACTGTTACTACGGCGATGGCTAGAAGGTTTCATTTGCTGTGGCTGCTGCTGCTGCTGCTGCTGATACAAAGCACGTAGCCTTCCAATCTCCCTCTCCAGAACTTCATGCTCCACTGAAAACACACCTCAAAGAGTTGAGAAAAAACATGAAAAAGAATGTATACATGAGAGCATATTCACTCATGATGATCAATAAACCCATTCTCAATCCAGTATCCTTTTTATCTCAGTCATCTTGCTACATTACTTCTATACCCTAAAATCTTCAGAATAGAACTAAATAGGCCTAAAACTAAATAATTGACTCTTTTCATTTTTATATGCTAGCATTATGAAAAAATAAATAGGCCGACAACTAATTTTTTTCAAACAGCTTCTCACAATGAGAACTACTTCTTGACTCTATAGAAGGAAAAAAATCCACAACCAAAAGTGAGAGATAAAAAGACTATATCGACACCTTAACTGTCAAGAAGTCAATAATTAGCGCTTACAGTATTTGATAAGCTGCTCCTGGGCCAAATTTTCTAACCGTTGCTTAAGAGCTTTATTCTCCATGCTTAGAATAAGATTTTGCTGATTGACAAATTCGAGCTCAGCTGAAACTTCTGATCCTTCTGCCTGTGAGGTACATTATGACATCATAAAATCTTGCAATTCATTCAACACTCTTTACAAATTAAATGGAAATTACACCTCACAAGCAGCTTCAGCAGAGATAGAGATACTTGCCTGCAAAGCTTGTACATTTCTTTCCAGCTCAGCTATGTACTGAAGTTTACGGACCCTGGAGCGTTGGGCAAACTGCCTGCATTAGATATCATTTTAAGTGTTATAGACAAAAGTATCGCTTTTCAACTCTTTGTAGAGTACATGAACTTTCTCGTTTCTGCATATCATTCATGTTATAAGTAGCTATTATAGCTTCTACAAACAGGTCTCTAAAATAACCACCAAACAGTTTCTGCATATCATTCATGTTATAAGTAGCTATTCTAGCTTCTACAAACAGGTCTCTAAAATAACCACCAAACAGCGACATCTAACAGTCAGACATCATACCAAATTTTAGATTGGTTATTTACATATCAGAAATGTAAAAATAGCATAAGCCACAGCATATTCATAGATCAGAGAAAGAAAGATATCTGTCGCCCACAGGTATGATTACCAAGGAAGTCAAGTAGAAAATGTGGAAGGAAGAAATATATCCTCCACAACAAGATGAAAAAAATGTTAAATAGTTATGTTTAGGAAAGAATAGGATCTTATCTGAATCTTACCCTAGACCAGTACACAATTCTTCACAAATGAAAGCACCGAGAGGTGGTCACAAGTTCATATACAGTAGACAGAATGAACTGTGATATGGAATTTTATTTTTTTTCCTTTGGTGTTAGTCTATTCTTTTTGGAAACTTTTGTCCTTCTTGAGCTTACTACTGTAAGAATTATTTGGTGCTTTATTTTAGTAGGGTCACAAGTGCGTTGAGTCTATGTATATCATACTTGTAATGCTTCATGTTAAGAATCAGAGTTCATGAATCAGCTCTCCAGTAATTATGCTTTAAGGTTGTGTCATCCAATCTATCTACAGAAATAATTGATCCACGTAATGAAATAATTAAAATAATTATGTTACTATTTGTAATGCATCCTTACAATAATGCACATTTGGACACCATTAATGGGGCTTGATCCATCCAGTGCATCAAAGAAATATGAATTGAGCACAGAAAGGAGAGGAGGGCACTAGCAAGCTTAAATGATGACACCAATAACGTGATTTCATTCATGCTCCATGTCCAAGTAATACATCAAAGTAAGCGTGAGATATAGAATAATGAAGAAGAATAACAAAGGACATACTGTTTAGCACGTTTTGTATCAGTATCTGATGCAGAAGACTTGGAATTTGAAATGTCCTTTTTTGCTAATGAAATTTTTGGATCATGTGGACCATCGAGTGGATCTTGCTTTTCACTCTCCGAAACACAATCTGCTTCCCGTGGGGCACATGATGATCCTGAACTCTGCATACCAGCATTCTCCCTGACAGAGGAATGACTACTTGGAAAGGTAGGGGCATTTAAAGATGAATCCCAAACCCTATTCTTCTGTTTTGTCAAGTTCATTTCAGAATAGAGAGAAGCTTGCCTGACATCTTGGTGATGATCAGGGTCATGAGATCCCCAAGAAGGTATGGACATCACATGTTTATATATGTAGTCATCCTGTTCTGCATAATCTATGTTAGAAGCATTAGCTACATCCATGTACGCAAAGGAGTCACTTGATGAACGCCTATGACCACCTCTACGAACAGGTGTCTCTGGCTCATTAAGAAGATCATCAAGCCATGAAGGCTGCTCCTCCATGAAGAGAGTCGCAGAAGAAGTTCGTTGATGATGTGTGTTTCCCTCTCTAGGCTTTTGAGCAGTTTTTGATCCAAAACTATTGCTGGGAACATGATCAATGTAAGATGGCGAAACACTAGGAAAAGGACTTTTTGGAGGAAGTAATGGATGTTTCCCTGAGTACATCAAATTTCTTATGTTCGCTGACCCCTTGGAATTTGCCATAGCCAAAGCACTAACAGTACCTGTCAAGGAATTAGATATAGAAAACAAATCAGGGTTTTTAATGGTAATTTGGTGAAATTTTCTAATGTTTTGTGGTCTCTCAAACACATCCACACAGAGGCCAGAGAGTAATAAAGATAACATCACAAAATATTTTGTAAAACCCATATTCTCTAATAAAAGAAACCGCAATGAACAAGAAGGGGACATCATCCATCCACCAAAATCTGTTCTCTAAATTTCTCAACACATTCAAGGCAGGCATAATAACAGCAGCATACCAGATCAAAAGCAGGAAAAATAAATAAATATATCAGATGTCGCAAATTCAGCAATGAATTTTAATAATCACCAGTCACCATCCTTTGGATTTTGATGATCAAAGATTTACGCTGACCCTCTTAATAAGAAAAGGTTTCAAAAGAGTAAATCGGACCTGAAAGCAACTCATGTGCTATCTTTCCTAATTTAATCAACTTTCTTATGTTCAATTTCATCAACCCTTTAGGTCATGTTGGTGCCAGGCCACCATGCAGTCTTACAGAAACTAATTTTACCACATTTAATAGAAAAAAACAAGAAGACTATCAATCCAACACCAGAAGGATCGAATAAAATTAAAAAAGAACAATCAAGAAAAATGCAAACAGCAATTCCTTGCAGCATCTCTCATAACTTAAAACATAAGTTAACAACAGAATACTCAACAGAAAAACACTACATTACAGCCCTCTGATTGTAGAGTTTTTCTTGTTTGGTTGCCACGAAAAGAAAAGGAAGATTTCAGCATGACACTCTAGACTAAACAAACTTATTGATTTTCGTCAATCTGAATGTAAAGTTCACGTTTTTTCAGCTCCCGGAAAATTTAAAAAAAGAAAAAGAAAGAAACCCTCAATTTAAAATAGCAAATTTCTCTTGATTTCCTAATTTTCTTGGCAACCAAACAACAAAAATTCTACAATCAGAGGCGTGCAATATCTGAAACAAAAACAAAAAAAAAAATTGTGATTTGTCTTAAAAATTATTGCAATGTGTTATAAAAAAGAGCTAAATTGAATCAGAATCTCAACTTTTCTTTATGAAAATCAAAATCAAAATCAAAAACAGATTCGCTTGGACACGCAAAAAATAAATAAATAAATTACCTTTTGGTGGATTGAAGAAATTAAGATCTCTAAATGCAATTCAAAACAAAGAGAAGAGAAATCAAATAAACTGAACAGTGCTTTCTAATTTAGGGTTTTTTTCCCCTCAATGCAGAAGAGACCTCTCCTCTCTCTAGTCTCTCTCTCTCTCTCTCTCTCTCTTCTTGTTCAGATGGGCTGGATTGAAAATCTAGAGAATTGGAGTTATACTCTCTTTATATTTCACTTTACGATATTATTATTATTCGGAATAATTACAGCAGTATTATTTTATTTTATTTTTTTCGACGTAAAAGGTATTTGTGTATTCATTTAAACTGGCTTTACTCCTCAAACGATTTTAAAAACGCATCTTCACATAAATTAATATATTTAAAATAACTTAATAAATCCTTCTAAATATTAAATAAATTCATGGTGATATTTCAGAATTAAAAAATTATGTAAATCTCTTTTTTGAGTAACTGTTATTATTGTTTGTTTATTTTTTTAACTTTTTATTATTTAATGAGATGCATTTTTATATCAATTTACTTATCATTAATGCTAAATCTCTCTCTTAAATATTTTTTAAATGCATTATATATCAGTTTAATGCATTGATTAAGAATAATATATTTCAAAAATAGGAAATTCAAGCCTAGCCAGGAAAACTTAGGGCAAAACGTTATGAAGTGGTGGTGCATGACTGCCTTTAGGGCATGAACTGGATCCATGTAGGCCAATGAACACATGTAGCTTAGTTGGCATTGAGGGTGGAGGTGCCTTTCTCATTTCTTAAAATAGGAGTGATTCTTATGAAGTCAAAAACTAGCTGTGATTGTTCTTAGTTAATGGATTAATGGGTGTGTGCATTTCAATCAAGACGGCCAATGAAGTGTCTAATTCAGCTTATTCAAAGATGTAATTTGTTTTGAGAAGAAAAAAAAAGTTTTGATAGGTTTTTTTTTGGATTAACTACATCAAGAGTTAATTTAGATTTTTGATAAGATTATATTATGTCAATTCTTTTTTTATTTTTATTAAAATTTAATCTAGTTTAAACTCTGATTTATCCATATTATGGATCAATTTGTCATGTGGAGTTTTAAAATAATAATTTGTATTATATTTTTTAAAAATATTTTTGTATATTTTTAAAATAGAAATTACATAAAAATACATCATAACCTCTCTAATCTCAAAACAATACCCAAACATTGTCTAAAACACATAAAATAAATATATTTTATACTATCTTTTAAGTGAATTTAACTTTCTATTCACACTATCTCAATCTTTTTTTTTTCCTGGAGCAAATATAAAATAAAAGTAAATGATGGGATATTCTTAATAAAACATGAGGTGAGATGAGTTAATGACGCGTAAAGGTTTTGCAAGTTGGTGATAGAATATGATAATTATGGTTAAATAAAAGAGAAGGAAAGAGAGGAACAGCACATTATTATAATATTAATAAAGCGGTGAAGAAGCCAACCAGCAGTACCCACACATAAAAGTGCACAAGCAGACAGCAAAACTCCATACCTATAAAATCCAACATGTCTCCAACCCCCAAGATTTTATGTCTCTTGTTGGGATTACAGTACAAATACAGATGTTATTTAAAATTAAGTTTTTTTAAATTAATTTGTTGTATTTTTCATGATTTTGAGAGTTAAAGTTTAAAAAAAAAATTAAAAATTAATTTAATATATTTATAAGTAAAATATATTTTAAAAAATAATTGTTATCAACCTAAACATGTCAATACTTACTAGTGATTATGTTGGAAAATGATGCTCATCTTTATCATGTCAAAGAATCATCTTAACCCAATAATTTAAATCGTTAGGTGACGTTTTAGGATATGATTTATATTATTTTATAACACATACTCTTAAGTAAAAATCATTTGGACTTGGAATTTGTACAGATTATATTACCTTGTATTTGATTTTTATCAAATAAATATAGATGGTGAGATTCAAATTCGTAATTACTTGGTCAATAAGGTTCTGATATCATGTCAAAAAATCATCTCAATTCAATAACTTAAATTATTAAGTAAAGTTTCAAAATATAATTTATATTATTTTCTAATATATCATTAAAGAAAAAAAAAGTTCATTTTGATCCTCAAAGCATCTAAAATCACAAGTAATATTCCTGCAGGCCTACTCCTCCTCCTCCTCTTCTTCTTTATAATTTTTGTCCATACAATGATTTTCTTAAGGATTAAATACAATGATTTTCTTAAGGATTAAAGATTTATGACAATGGAGCATGTATCCTCGTCCCTGTGGGGTGTATGTCAAAAACATACAATTACACCTTTCATTGTTTGCATACATTTTGTTCTCTCACTGTATGTATTGCATAGCATTCCATGTAATTTTAAAACCTAACTCAATAATCCATCAAAGATAAACCGATTAAAAAATCTAATTTAAAAAACAATCAACTAATTAATAATTAGGTTTAGAGATGGTTTTGGATTTTTTTCTCATATAAAAAGCAATATAAAAAACATATATTTTTAATTTTTAAAAATATGGTTCATACTTTAAAAAAATTATACCTTAAAAAAAAACTACCATACTTTCAAGCTAGAAACACATGCATTCCTATTTGTTTCTGTATTTTTTAAAAAAAATTTAAAAATTTGTGTTATCAACCTAAACATGTCAATACTTACCGGTGGTCATGTTGGAAAATAATGTTCAGCTTTATCATTTCAAAGAATCATCTCAACCTAATAATTTAAATCGTTAGGTGAGGTTTTAGAATATAATTTATATTATTTTATAACACATATGCTTAAGTAAAAATCATTTGGACTTGGAACTTGTACAGATTATATTACCTTCTATTTGATTTTTATCAAATAAATATAGATGGTGAGATTCAAATTCGTAATTACTTGGTCAATAAGGTTCTGATATCATGTCAAAAAATCATCTCAATTCAATAACTTAAATTATTAAGTAAAGTTTCAAAATATAATTTATATTATTTTCTAATATATCATTAAAGAAAAAAAAAGTTCATTTTGATCCTCAAAGCATCTAAAATCACAAGTAATATTCCTGCAGGCCTACTCCTCCTCCTCCTCTTCTTTATAATTTTTGTCCATACAATGATTTTCTTAAGGATTAAATACAATGATTTTCTTAAGGATTAAAGATTTATGACAATGGAGCATGTATCCTCGTCCCTGTGGGGTGTATGTCAAAAACATACAATTACACCTTTCATTGTTTGCATACATTTTGTTCTCTCACTGTATGTATTGCATAGCATTCCATGTAATTTTAAAACCTAACTCAATAATCCATAAAAAATAAGACCGATTAAAAGATCTAATTTAAAAAATAATTAACTAATTAATAATTAGGTTTAAAGATGGTTTTGGATTTATTTTTTCTCATATAAAAAGCAATATAAAAAACATGTATTTTTAGTTTTTAAAAATATGATTCATACTTTTAAAAAATTATATCTTAAAAAAAAACCACCATACTTTCAAGCTAGAAACACATGTATTCCTATTTGTTTCTGTATTTTAAAAAAAATTAAAAAAATTTGAAATTTTTTTTATTTCAAATTAATATATTTTTAGTATTTTCAAATCATTTTAATATAATAATATTAAAAATAATTTTTAAAAATAAATAAATATTAACATATATTTTAATATAAAAACTTATTTAAAAAATAAACTATAACCACACTTTCCAATAAAACAACCATACCTCCAAGCCTGGAACACAATTATTAAAACAATGACAAAAAGTGCTGCCCACTACAGCCTCTTGCTCTTGGTGCATCCAATCAATACAGAATCCTGGACGCAGCTTGCTCCGATTTAATGACAATAAAGGCTTTTATGGCATAGATTTTCAATAAAACTAGACATGTAATTCCAATTTGAGTTTTTGGATGCTTATCAGTTAATTAGATGTTAAGACAACATTAGTCCCTTTGTCTGAAATCAATCCAATTTTCTGTTAACTTTTACAGGCACGTGATATTTCTATGGATTCCAATTTTTTAAAGGAAACGTTTTAAAATTTAAAATGAAAAATAAATTACTAAAAATACTTTGATTATTTATTTAGTCTGATTTTATTCTTTCCTCAAGAAAATTACTAAAAGCATCATCTGATAGCTGAAGTTCAGAAAGCGTGTGATTAATCAGTACATCCCACAATTTATTGAGAACAATTAAGTGCTGTGATGGAGATCAAAGCTGGATTTGTAGTAATTTTTGAACTTATTTTTCAAACCAAAATCATAAGCTCGCATCTCAACTTCAACTTTACATGTGAACATTAATAATTTCCATGTGTTGATTGGAAGCAACAAATCAAGCTGAGATCACAGGAATTATACCCCCGCCCCATAAATTCAGTGGGTTTAAAATTATGATAGCAGTGATAATTTAAAATATTTTTAATTTAAAAATACATTAAAATAAAAAAATTATTTTTAAAAAATTAGTTATAATATCAGCACAATCTTAAAATATATATATAAAAAATTATTTTAAATAAAAAAATATAATATAATAAAACACAGGTTATATGGCGTTTCGAAACACCTACTTTTAGTTGCTCTCAATTTACAGAGCATGACATCAGAATGGCGGAGGACGCAGCCCCACGCCTCTAAAGATGCTAATTGCGGAAGACACGGCAACCCACATGCCGAAAATATATATAAAGGAAGAAATTGCGTTTTAATCGATATCCTAAGCTTAGCAGATTAATTATCTTCTTTAAGCAATCAAATTGTCATTACTAAACCCAATAAAATTTTCTCTGGATTGCTAGGAAGTCTAACTTCTATGTTTACGAACTTGTCACCAGTACAAACATCCAGGTTCAGAACTAGAAGAAGCTTGTTCAAACTAAAGCAATTACATCAGATGTCCAGGCAAGTACTTGTAAAAGCCTAATCAAATGAGTTTCAGCCACCCCGAGCTTCCCTCCTCGTGGCATCGTGAAGCAGATCAACATCCACACCCTCTGGAGGAAGCTGAACATATCTCACTACTGATCCCCTTATGAAACAGTTCCTGACAGAAAGCTGAAATTTAACACAAAATCATTAGATCCAGCTAGCACAATCATACGGAAAATCCCAAAAACAATCAGGACT